CTACCCACAAATATATTCAGCACTGTTTACAATGAAACACTAGAAATAATAGGAGGCTGATTAAATAGATGACACACCCTTATAATTGAATAGTATAAAGTCTTGTTAAAAGAAATGGTTCTGTAGGTTGTAATATCAAAAGAGATTTCTGATACATGTTTAAGGAAAATGAAAAAGCAAGGCACAGGACATTGTGTATATAGTGTCACATTAAGAAAAACATCTCCCAGGCCGGATGCAGTGGCTCACGCCTGTAATCCCAGCACTTTGGGAGGCCGAGGCCTGCGGATCACCTGAGGTCAGAAGTTCGAGACCAGCCTGGCCAACATGGTGAAACCCCATCTCTACTAAAAATATAAAAAATTAGCAGAGCATGGTGGTGTGCATCTATAGTCTATGAGAGCTATGAGAGCCTTTGCAGCAGGGTTGCCTAGCATAGCCCTGGCGGTGAGATTCCTGATTGGTAGAGCTGTAAGAGCAGGACCTCTTACCAGTGGGTCCAGAAGGTGGGACCTTCATCCCAGTAGGCTTAGAAGGAAGCATATCAAGTCAAAGAGGATTATTCTCAAGCCTTAAGATCTCATTGGACTTACTTGGGACCTGTTGCCCCTTTCTTCCTTCTTCTTTCTCCCTAACAGAACAGGAATATCTATCCTCTGCCTGTCCAACTACTGTATTTTGGAAGCACATAGCGTGTTTGGTTTTATGAGTTCACAGCTGGAGAGGAATCTGCCTCAGGATGGATTGTACCTTGAGTCTCACCCAGATCTGATTTGGATGTGATTTAGATGAGACTTTGGATTTAGACTTTGAAGTTGATGCTGAAACAAATTAAGACTTTTTGGACTATTGGGATGGAATGAAAGTGTTTTGTATGTAAGAAGGACATGAGTTGGGGGGTGGGGGTCCAGGAGCAGAATGTAATAGATTGAATGTTTCTGTCCCCCAAAATTCATGTGTTAAAACCTAATCCCCCATGTGACAGCATCTGGAGGTAGGGTCTTTGGGAAATTAAGTCATAGGGTAGAGCCTTTATGAAGGAGATTAGTGCCCTTGTAAAAGAGACCCTGGAGAGCTCCCTCACCCCTTCTGCCATGTGAGGACACAATGAGAAGGCGGCAAAAAAGATGGCCATCTAGGAACCAGGAAGGAAGACCACACCAGCACTGAATTTCCTAGAACCTTGATTTTGGACTTAACCTCCAGAAGTGTGAGAAATAAATTTGTTATTTAAAAGCCACCAAGGCCGGGCGCAGTGGCTCACACCTGTAATCCCAGCACTTTGAGAGGCCAAGGCGGGTGGATCACGAGTTCAGGAGTTTGAGACCAGCCTGACCAATGTGGTGAAACCCTGTCTCTACTAAAAATACAAAAATTAGCCAGGCGTGGTTGCTCGTGCCTGTTATCCCAGCTACTTGGAAGGCTGAGGCAGGAGAATTGCTTGAACCCGGGAGGCGGAGGTTGCAGTGAGTCAAGATTGCGCCACTGCACTGCAGCCTGGGTGACAGAGGGAGACTCTGTCTCAAAAAAAAAAAAAAAAAAAAGCCACCAAGTCCGTGGTATTTTTCTTTTAAAAGCTTGAATGGACTGAAATACCAGCAATAACATGTTTCATTTCTTAAAAGGTGTAAAATTTGGTATATTTACTTTTAATTAAAGAGTTCTGGTTTTTGTTTTTAGCATTTAATTATTGTTATCCATTGGAAAAAATAGATATTATATACATTATGTATAAAACTGTTTATAGGTAATATATTTTCTATACCTTACAAATAATGCTAATTATTTCCTAAGGTTGTTTTCTCCCCTATCATTTTGTTATTTTATTTTATTTCTTTTCTATTTTTTGAGACAGAGTTTCGCTCCTGTTGCCCAGGCTGGAGTGCTATGGCATGATCTCGGCCCTCCGCAACCTCCACCTCCCAGGTTCAAGCGATTCTCCTGCCTCAGCCTCCTGAGTAGCTGGGATTAAAAGCATGTACCACCACGCCCGGCTAATTTTGTAGTTTTAGTAGAGACGGGGTTTCTCCACGTTGGTCAGGCTGGTCTCCAACTCCTGGCCTCAGGTGATCCGCCCCTCTCAGTCTCCCAAAGTACTGAGATAACAAGCGTAAGCCACCTCACCCAGCCTTATTATTTTATTATTATTATTATTATTATTTTTTGAGACAGTCTTACTGTCTTGCCAAGACTGGAGTGCAGTGGCGCAATCTTGGCTCACTGCAACCACCACCTCCGAAGTTCAAGCGATTCTACCTCAGCCTCTCAAGTAGATGGGATTACAGGCATGCACCACCACATCCAGTTAATTTTTGTGTTTTTAGTAGAGACAGGGTTTCACCATCTTGGCCACACTGGTCTCGAACTCCTAACCTCAAGTGATCCACCTGCCTTGGCCTCCCAAAGTGTTGAGATTACAGGCATGAGCCACTGCCCCTGGCCCACCTACCACTTTAATAATGCATGCATATTGAATTGGGGTAACATGAAAAACACTTTTCCTGATACTTGGCTCCATAATTTTTCCTATTGTTTGTAAATCTTGCCTGCATAGATGTAAAGATTTAACATTTGATAGGAAGATCATTTAACCACTAAAGGGGGAATCACTCTTATATGTAGGGAGAAATCAATTATTTGCAAGAAGATTCCTTATTTAAAATCTGATGTGGCCGGACACCGTAGCACACACCTGTAGTCCCAGCTACTCGGGAGGCTGAGGCAGGAGAATTGCTTGAACCCGGAAGGCAGAGGTTGCAGTGAACCGAGATCACACCATTGCACTCCAGCCTGGGTGACAGAGCGAAACTCCATCTCAAAAGAGAGAGAAAAAAAAAAAAAACCATTTGATATCAATACAATGTACTACTACTCTGTGATTTAAAAAAAAAGATGGACAAACATTGATACTGATATATTACCATCTTAAATGGATCTCAAGGACATTTTGGTGGATGAAAAAAAAAGTTGCATGATATATGATTCAATTTTGATCCCCAAAGTTGCATACTATATGATTCAATTTTTATAATATTCTTGAAATGACATAAGTATAGCTGTGGAGAACAAATTAGTGATTGCCAAAGAACAGGGAGGAGGGCAGTGGACTGGTGTAACTAACGATGTGTAGTAAGTAATATAAGGGATAGCACTATAAAAGGGTGACACAGGGGACACACACACATACACACACACACACGCTAGTGCATGTAAAAACTGGTGAAATTGGAATAAAGCCTGTGGTCTGGTTAATATTTTACAGATGTCAGTTTCCTGGTTTTAATATTGTACTGTACTGAGGCTATGATCAGAGGAAGGTGGGTGAAGGGTACATGGGACTCTGCTATATTTGCAATTTCCTGTGAATCTATAATTATTTCAGATTAAAGGGGAAAAAAATCAAACACGAGACATACAAACTCATCAAATATTTCCTTTTTCCAACACCTACTGATTGTGCATGGCTTTATTGGCTGCTTGCTTTAACTCCCACAACTCTCTGAAATAGATGTTATGAACTCTATTTTATTTTCATCAAAATGGAGGCTTAGGTTAAGTAATTTGTCCAAGGTACAACTACTGTTAGAGCCAGGGTTTTACTCCAGCACAATCTAAATCCCACTCATGGTTGTTTGGGCTGAATCCTGACTGGACTTAAATGACACTGTTCTTTTCTTTGACGCCCAGACTGGAGTGCAACCGCCGGATCTCGGCTCACTGCAACCTCCACCTCCCGGATTCAAGCGATTCTCCAGCCCCAGCCTCCCTAGTATCTGGGACTACAGGTGTGAGCCACCATGCCCGGCTGATTTTTGTATTTTTAGTAGAGACGGGGTTTCACCATATTGGCCAGGCTGGTCTCGAACCCCTGACCTCAAGTGATCTGCCCGCCTGGGCCTCCCAAAGTGCTGGGATTACAGGCGTGAGCCACCGCGCCTGGCCTGCCATCACGCTTGTAATCCCCGCACTTTGGGAGGCCAAGGCGAGTGGATCACGAGATCAAGAGATTGAGACCATCCTGACCAACACGGGGAAACCCCATCTCTACTAAAAATACAAAAAATCAGCTTGGCGTGGTGGCATGCGCCTGTAGCCCCAGCTACTCGGGAAGCTGAGGCAGGAGAATCGCTTGAACCCAGGAGGTGGAGGCTGCAGCGAGCCGAGATCGCCCTACCGCACACCAGCCCGGGCGACAGTGTGAGACTCCGTCTCAAAAAAAAAAAAAAAATAATAATAATAATAATCTTCCTGCCAGAGGTGAGAGAGCAGAAAAAAAAAATTAATCAGATTCTCAAATTCCTGTGCGTCTCTTAGCAGAGAAGGGGTTTCTCCATGTTGGTCAGGCTGATCTCGAACACCCGATCTCAGGTGATCCGCCCGCCTCAGCCTCCCAAAGTCCTGGGATTACAGGCGTGAGCCACCGCGCCCAGCCACAAGACGTTTTATTGCAACATAAATATAGAGGATGTAACGAGTCATCCAATCACCAATGTAATTAGAGTTGGTTACCAAGTTTCCCTACGCGTCTTCCACCAGGAGGGATAAATGGACTGCAGACAAACCTAGCACCCCTTGAGCAGCTTAATTCGTATCATAAATATGCAGGCACCGTAAGGACGCGATTCTCCAGTTAGCCAGGCCTTTTTCTACCCTTTTGGGGGCACAAGGCGACCTTGCCTCCTGATTCAAAAACTTCGTAAACTTCAATCCTTCTGCCCTTTTCTGGTCAGCCACGAAAGCAGCAGCCTGGCACAATTCCCAGCCTAGAGTTCGGGCGTTCCTTGTCATCAGCACAACGACGAAACCTACACTCACGGAGACCTCAGACCCCGCGTGATTACATCACTCAACCACCAGCGCAGGCCTGGAGGAACCCACTGTCACGTGACCGCTCGTGCCCAATGACCGAGGCCCACGCTTTCCAGACTGCCATAGGCGCTGTCATAGAGCCCGAGCTTGGGCGGTGCCCCGCCCCGGCCGCACGGTGCGCCGGCGTTAATCCTCCCCGAAAGTTCCGGCCGCCAAGATTGCAGGTTCCCACCAAGCATTGTTTCCGAACTGGGCCACAAGAGCGTGTTCCTGATTGGCTTGCTCTGGAGGTTGGGAAGGGACGTGTTAAAGACTGGGACCACTTCCTGAAGCGCGAGGCAGGAAGTTATATGCGTTTTCTGGAGTCCTGTAGAGAAAGTGCTCTTTGCCGCATTGGTGTCGGCGAGAGCTGGAGGTGTTGGGTCGGAAGACCAGCCGTTCGGTCCCGCCGCAGGTAGGAGCTGGTTTCCATCGCGGCACCACGGCACACACCTCCAGCCCTGAGCCCGGAGCGACTGCCCGGGGGTCTCCTTCAGGCTTCTTGACGCCGTACCAGGGGGCACCTAGCCAGGCATCCTCTGGGCTTCTAGCCAGAGGACTGGCTCCCGGCTTCAGCACTCTGGGCTGCAGTAACAAGTGCCCTTATCGCCCTGAGCCCTGCCACCATCCCGTGAACCACCGAAACCCTGGTCCAGCGCGACAGCCTTGGACCTGGGACTGGACCGATCCAAAACGCTCAGCCCCGGCCCCCCACAGACGGGGCTCTGCATCGTCTCTGATATGTCACCCACCGTCTCCCACAAGGACAGCAGCCGGCAACGGCGGCCAGGGAATTTCAGTCACTCTTTGGATATGAAGAGCGGTCCCCTGCCTCCGGGCGGTTGGGATGACAGTCATTTGGACTCAGCGGGCCGAGAAGGGGACAGAGAAGCTCTTCTGGGGGATACCGGCACTGGCGACTTCTTAAAAGCCCCACGGAGCTTCCGGGCGGAACTAAGCAGCATTTTGCTGCTACTCTTTCTTTACGTGCTTCAGGGTATTCCCTTGGGCTTGGCGGGAAGCATCCCACTCATTTTGCAAAGCAAAAATGTTAGCTATACAGACCAAGCTTTCTTCAGTTTTGTCTTTTGGCCTTTCAGTCTCAAATTACTCTGGGCCCCGTTGGTGGATGCTGTCTACGTTAAGAACTTCGGTCGTCGCAAATCTTGGCTTGTCCCGACACAGTATATACTAGGACTCTTCATGATATATTTATCCACTCAGGTGGACCGTTTGCTTGGGAATACCGAAGGCAGGACACCCGACGTGATTGCTCTCACTGTGGCATTCTTTTTGTTTGAATTCTTGGCCGCCACTCAGGACATTGCTGTCGATGGTTGGGCGTTAACTATGTTATCCAGGGAAAATGTGGGTTATGCTTCTACTTGCAATTCTGTGGGCCAAACAGCGGGTTACTTTTTGGGCAATGTTTTGTTTTTGGCCCTTGAATCTGCCGACTTTTGTAACAAATATTTGCGATTTCAGCCTCAACCCAGAGGAATCGTTACTCTTGCAGGTAGTGTATTTAAACTATTATGGTGTTAGGTTTATTTATCCTTTTGAAAGAGTGTGTGATGTCGGAGGGAAGCTCATTAATTTACTGGAAATCATTGTATGGGCGATAACTCAAGGTAAGTTTTCTGTTTCGTCCAGATGAGCTTCTTTAAATTATTAAAGCCAAAATGAATGACATCAGAGCAATCAAATGATCAGTACTCTGCAGGTAGTTAACAGGGAGAGGCAACCCATCAAATAACAACGGAGTCCAGAGATTCGTGCCACTTGCTTAATACACAAATGCACATTTTTTAAAAGTGTGGCTCATATAGTTCACATTTTTCCTTTTGTCTTGTTGGTTTTAGGTTTCTAGCTCTATACTTTCTGATGCATTTCTACCCCTACCATTGTACCCAGAATCCAGCCTTCTAGTGAGTAGAACAGGGTTTATTCTTTCAAACATTATTGAGTCAGCTACGGGACGGGGTTCTAAGGCCTCTTATGAATAAGGCAGAGTTCTGCACTCAAGAAATAGGGGAGATGAACGTTTTAGAAGACTTCGGAGTTGCCAGTAACTGCCTTTGGGAGTCAGGCTTCACATTGCAGATAACATTTGACTTTGTTCTTGAAAAAGATTCCACGAGGCCAGGAAATGGCACACCAGGATGCACAACACAAAGTGAAAGTGCACTGAGGCAGGAAAGTACAAAAAAGTACAGGACATTGCCTGAACTGGGTTTGGGAAATCATGCTGAGAAAGGTTGTGACTAAATTAGTAAGATTTTAATTACTATGGGAAAAGGGTTTAAAAGTTTGTCCTGTAAGTAATGGAGGGTAAGGTCTAAAAAATTTCTCCGTTTCTCTGCATTAGTAAAACACATGTAAGTTTTTCCCTTTTTTCTTTTTTCTTCTTCTTTTTAATTGAGATGGTTGGGGGTGGGGGAGTGTCTCACTATGTTGGCCAGGCTGGTCTCAAACTCCTGGACTCAGGTGATCCTCCCCCTCCTTGGCCTCCCAAAGTACTGGGAATTACAGGTGTGAGCCACCCCACCTGGCCTAAGCTTATCTGAGGGTTTTTGTACTTTGTTTTTTTTTTTAGCTTTTGTAGCAACTAGAAAACAAAATGACCAATATAAGGAATAACAATGTCAGGAATATAGTGGAATTCTTCATTTCTGTCAGTGATGATTAATTTAGGGGATTCTGTTTTGAAATTTAAGCAGCTAAACTTCTCAGCTTCTGTGCTACCTTGGAAATTCCCAGTAGAGTAAATGTCCAGGTATGTGGGTGATGGTAGGAGGTGTCACAACTATACTAATTTCCTGTGATCTCCTGCAATCTTATTCATTCTCACACACATCTAACCTTATGTACACCTCCTCAGACTGCTAGTGAGTGAGCCACTATTACTGGTGAAATGATGGTGATAGTACTTTTTCCTCAGTTGTTTGGTTGAGAGATATTATATATATAATATATAATTATATATATGCGCCCAGCCAAAATAAAAAAATTAATTAAAATAAAAATAAAGAAGTCAAGGCTGGGTGCAGTGGCTCACGCCTGTAATCCCAGCACTTTGGGAGGCTGACGTGGATGGATCACCTGAGATAAGGAGTTTGAGATCATCCTGGCCAACATGGCAAAACCCCTTCTCTACTAAAAATACAAAATTTAGCTGGAAGTGGTGGCACTCACTTGTAATCCCAGCTACTCAGGAGGCTGAGTGGGGAGAATCACTTGAACCCAGGAAGCAGAGGTTGCAGTGAACCGAGATTGCACCATTGCACTCTAGTCTAGGTGACAGAGCAAGGCTCCATCTCAAAAAAAAAAAAGAATAAGTCAGCGTAAATTAAAATCCAGTGGCATAATTTTGATCCATTAGGGAAGAGTTGTGGCTAAGGGAGTATAAATATACTAATTCTTGAACTCATAACTGCATTCTCTGGGATAATGTTTTACCAATCACTCTTAGATTAAGAGAAAGTTCCAATTTAGCTAATTAGCAATTTAGTTTCCATGGCCTCTTAAACTTTGATTTCACTGAGGCTTTCTCCTCTTAAGTAACATCATCTCCTTAATCCTCTAGGGTGATATAAACATCAGTCCCAGGACAAAATGAAAAGCAGACACCAAAAGCAACAAACTGGCTGGGCATAGTGGCTCATGCCTGTAATCCCAGCACTTCGGAGGCCAAGGCGGGTGGATCACAAGGTCAGGAGATCAAGATCATCCTGGCCAACATGGTGAAACCCTGTCTCTACTAAAAATACAATAATTAGCCCGGTGTGGTGGCATGCACCTGTAGTCCCAGCTATTCAGGTGGCTGAGGCAAGAGAATCGCTTCAACAGGGGAGGCGGAGGTTGCAGTAAGCTGAGATCGCACCACTGCACTCCAGCCTGGGCGATACAGCCTGTAAGACTCCATCTCAAACAAGAAAAAAGCAACGAACTGGTAATAGACAGGATGCATTCACAAAGTATTTCTAGGCAGTGAATTATTATTATTATTATTCTGAGATGGAGTCTTGCGCTGTTGCCCAGGCTAGAGTGCAGTGGTGTGATCTCAGCTCACTTCAACTTCCCCCTCCAGGGTTCAAGCTGTTCTGTTGCCTCAGCCTCCCTAGTAGCTGGGATTACAAGCATGTGCAACCTGGCTAATTTTTGTATTTTTGGTAGAGATGGGGTTTCACCACGTTAGTCAGGCTGGTCTTGAACTCCTGACCTCAAGTGATCTGCCGACCTCGGCTTCCCAAAGTGCTGGAATTACAGGTGTGAGCCACTGTGCCTGGCCTTGACTTGTTACTTTGAATTTTTTTCTTTTTTTCCTGTGGAATTTGAACTTTGTTCTGCAGTAGATTCTAAAACTAGCTTACTTTTTAATTCAGCTGTTTATATCTGTGGTAGACTGCTGTTTCTGGTTCAAACATTTTAGTTGAAAGTTAGAATTCCTATAGTTTCATTCTCCTTTTTATGACTGAACATACCACATTTATAACATTGTTCTTTCTGGAACTTAGGATAACTAAGAAAAACCAGTGGTTTTGAAAAAGTTATATAGCACACGAAGAATTATATGAAGGAAATATAATTGTTTAGGTGATTACAGAGGAGCTAAGCACTGAGGCAATGTTTAGAAAATCCAAGTATTGAAAGGAAGCATAATTGTTTATTGTTTTTTGTTTTTTTAATTCTAAAATATGTTCTGGCCAGGCGCAGTGGCTCACACCTGTAATCCTAGCACTTTGGGAGGCTGAGGCGGGCAGATTGCTTGAGCTCAGAAGTTCAAGACCACTCTGGGCAACATGGCAATACCCCGTCTCTACTAAAAATACAGAAAATTAGCCGGGTGTGGTGGCGCATACCTGAAATCCCAGCTACTCAGGAAGCTGAAGCATTAGAATCACTTGAGCTGGGGAGGTGGAGGCTGCAGTGAGCTGAGATTGCGCCACTGCACTCCAGCCTGGGTGACAGAGTGAGACTCCATCTCCAAAAATATAAATAAATAAAAAATAAATAAAATACTGTCTGTAGCAGTTTTGATTGTTACAGATTGTTACAGATAAGTGGAGACGGAATATATTGGGTAGACAGATAATGTAAATGAGTCATCTGAGTTGGAGGGACAGAGATAATTTGAGAAATCCATGCCCCTCTAAAGGTGAGGAGTATCAACTCTAGTAAGTTGTAGTTTTGTGACAATAGGATCCCAAGATTGCTAGATTTTTTTTTTTTTTT